AATAACTGCATTGAGAAATGTAAAAACATCTGCCCTATCTGTTTTTCCAAAATTGCCTTTGATGAGTTTTGGGCATAACTTCTTTTTATACAATGGCAAACGAATGCCCTGTTTGTCAAGAATTGAAAACAACCCTTCAATTAAGAAAACTTCACAAAAGAAAGTATCCACAACCCTTTCATTTTATTTGTAATGAATGCTACATGACTCTCAAAACCAAAACTAACTTAATTTTTGACAAATTCTTATGCCAAATATGCCATCAGGATGTTCACGTATTAAATTTCGAACAAATAAACAAATGTCTGACCTGTAAAGGCAATAAAAAATGAATAAACAATTATGCTGTTTGTTTAGGAAGTCGCAAAGTGTTCTGCTTGGTAATGGACATTGAATTTGTCCTTGATTATAATCTCCTCGTCCAAGTTGACAGTTACCAAGCGCGCACAAACCGTATTTTTATTCATCCCGATCAACAGCAGTTGGATATTTTTTGCCAACGTTACAGTCCTGGCTTCCACGATGAAGAAAAATTTACTGTAAAAAGCAGCAGTAGATTTTTTAATATTATCTTAAATGCATTCAACAATGACGAAGATGTCATCGACATAAATTTCCAAACCTCCAATCGACTTATTTTTTAATCTTTCCTTCTTTAAAAAAATGATTCAGATAACTTTACCAGCTTTTATATGTAAAATTTTTCAAGCTTGTTATTTTGATTTCCAAAGTTTTCTTTATGTTTCTCAACCCATACTACATTACTTCCGAAAAACCATTGAACAACCCACTCTTGAATGCCCAATTTGCTACTTACCAAAATCCAAATTCAAGAAACAACATCATAACGAGCCATATCATCCACCACACTTTATTTGTATAGACTGTCATGACCAAATTATAGCCCATTTTTCTAAATATGGACAGATTTTATGCCCCATTTGCCAAGTCCCAAATTATACCCAATCACTTTCATATTACTCCCCTTGTTGTTCATGCGATAGTATGGTTAAAAGCGCAAATTGGGGAAGTACCCAGACCCAAAGTACCCAATCAACATCTTACTGATTGCCATCAAGGTATCACTATTTGTACAAGATGCCTCCCTAATACTGCACAATTTTGTCCCTTATGCCACATCCCTTGTGATTTTTCCGACCCCTGGAATTAATTCTCCTTACTATCCGATGTCATTATACAATTCCTCTCCACTTCTACATTTGGTCAGACCTCAACCCTTCAGTAATTAGCTCACAATTTATATATCTTTATAAACAACAGTAAACACAAAATACCCTTTAAATATGCTATATTATATACTATTTACCTCTCCCCCCGGTTTTTTCTAGTCCCTTTTACCTATAAAAGGGGACCCCATGGTAAGCCTGTGGATGACCCCAGGTGGACATACATTTAAGATTAGGGGTTAATTAATGCCCAAATTTCCATTTTTTACTTTAACTACATAAATTTAATATGTGAGCTTAACTCAGTGTTGTAAAGTGCTTTATTCCTGTGGTTAATAAACACCATGATCGTTTTTCTTCATTTGTTTTCCGTGGTGGATTTGTGTGAAACCACAAGATTATATTTTCCACCTTTTATATATATACAATTTTACACTTTGTCCTTCATTGTTCAAACATTTGATAATTAGCCTTAATATCCGAATGTAATTCGGGATTTTGAATATTTGGTCATTTTATATTGATGTTTAGCAAACTGGAATACGACCCAATTTTAAACTGGAACTGCAGAAATGCAGACCCTGCACCAGAGGAATTTAAAAGAAAGCTGCCTCTCAGGAAGAAACAACGGAAACCGGTAGCAGTTCAATCTTTGTCATTGGACGACGGGTTAAATAAGAACCCTCGCAACTTTCCCAGTTTAACCCAAAGATTGGAGCTGCAGAAGTGCAGAGAAACCAAATTGGATACGGAAAATCCAAAATATATAACGAGTTTAAAGTACTCAATAAAGGAAAATTATAACAGATGGAAACTGCCATCGTTCATTGAAGTCGTCAACTCAACGACAATGGAAAAGGCGATGATGCCTATCGACTTCATAACCCAGCCAGAAGTGGTTATAAAGAACGAAAACAACTTCTGGAAATTAAAGAAGAAGGAGGAACACGGCTACATCTTCAAGGCAGGAGGCACGCAAGTCACCATCCCGTTCGAGGGAATAACTGCTTTTCCGAACCATGTAAGAAACAGACAGGAAGAACAGGACGACATTCAACAACTTACGGACGGAATGAGCAGACTACGAATCAAGAACAAGATCAAAAAGAAGAAAATCGTGAAGTTGCAACAAAAACTCGAGGCTTCACAAAGGAAGATAGCGATCCTCAGATCATACAACGTGGAGCTAGAAGCCGGAAGGAAGCTCTAGATAAAACCTAACTTATCTTTATAACTTTTTCGTTTGATGTTCTCTTTAAATTTTATAACTATAGTATTTAACCATTAAAGTGTTTAAATTTTCACCATGGTAACTGTAAGAATAGAACAGCTTAATTTTCTTAAAAAAGGGGTGAGTTGTAGTATTGCGAAAAACTACACACACACAAAAGACCATTGTCTTAATTGTTTATTTAACGACCCAATTCTAAATTGGAGCGTGCCATTTAAATTAAAGCCTCTTTTCACTAAATCAGATATTGACTGATTTATTCTTATTAGGACTATAAAATCTTGTTTTAAAAATCCACTCCTTTTTGAATACTTGTCCAATTTTTCTCATTTTTTCAAGCTCAATATTTTAAAAGGGCGGCATTATTAATACGTCCCTTTTAACTTAACTTGAACAAACTGGATAAATATTTTGCAGTCTTGCCGGCTGCACTAAAATTCTCCTTGCTTTGATTTAGCATAGATGCACCTGCAATATGATGCATCAGAGAAAGTAATATGAATTTTTAATCAGACAAACTGAAGGCTGCGGTTTTCTTCAAAGAGGACTAATAAGTTGAAGATATTTGATTTGAAAAAATCAAATAAAAACTAGTTGAAAATTCCCTTATAAGAAAGGGAGAACAAAGGAGCAGGTGAAACCTGAATAATTAAAGATTGAATCAGCCGCCGGTTTATGCTTATGAGCAAAAGGACTGGCCTGAAATCTTCAGTGTTTCATTTTGCTCAGTCAGCAGCAAGTCAGTTCTCTTCAGTCAGATCTTTTAAAAATAAATAATTTTTCTTTTCTGCCCTAACTTTAAAATTAATCTAGCCATTTTCACTTATAAAAAGAGAATAAATTCTCATTTTAAATTTGATTTGAAAAATTATAAATTGAGATACTCGAGATACGCACACCCGAGGAAGTCTGGACTACAAGTACCCAAAGGACTACGGCAAGACGATTCAGACGACCCAACCAGAAGTGCTGACTTGGACAAAATCAAGGGCAACCATACATACAAATCAGCCACCGACCTTAGTAAGAAGATAAAATATGATGAACAAAATAAGATTAGCTCAACCTCCCCTCATAGGTATATTTCTTTAAGCTGTTCGATTCATTTATATAATCTAATAACCCAGTGCTTTGTATCTAACCAATTAATTAATTCATACATTTTCTAACTATTGTTTCTACTCTACTTTTTGTCAAGACAATTTGACGATTTAAGGTGAGACTTATAACTTAGGATAAAATTACTAAGCATTCAACCAGCAATGAGCGCTTAGTAAAATAAGAACACTTTTCGCAGTGGCCAGAAAAACCTGCTAGCAAATTTTAATTCTTAGAGCAATTAAACAAGCGAGTAGAGCCAAAAACGTTTTATTAAGCTATTAAACTGTTTGTGAACTTTTTAGAGGTTTCGGCTTGTTTTTGTTGAGCTTAAATTTCAAGTTTTATCAAAATTAGTGGTGAAATTGAACAAAAAAACTGATTTTGTGAATTTGTTTCTGGAAGAACATACGAAGCCAAACTGTACTTTGCGCTGAATGCGGAAAACGCAACAAGATTTGACAAGGTTTTGTTTTGAAACCAGCAAAAAAAATTTGAATTTGATTTTTTTTCTGTTGTAGAACCTTCAGTCAAATGACAAAAACATAGCAAAGACATAAGAGCTCAAGCAGCAAAATTTACGGAACCCAGACCTGTTTTTGCGGAACTGAGAGAATTCTAAGCAAACTTATTTTTTATTATTTTTTTATTTCAGATTTCACGATTACTTCGTAGAGATTGAATAGATATAATTTTCAGAAATTTCAAATTAACAAAAGAGAGACTACAGAAATATAAATTAAAATTAATTAATTTTTTTTATCATTGATTGTTCATCCTGTTCACTGTGAGAAAAATTGTTGAACGTCCTTAGATAATGTCCGTCAGCGTAAATACGCCTGTTTTGAAGACTTGCAAGTGCTAATGATTAATGCAAATGTTGATTTTCAGGAACCTGAAAAAATTATGTTTTGGGTCGTAAAAAGTAGTTTTTTAAGTCTTCAAAATTACCAAAAAAGTAAAAAGAAAATACAAGGGCATAAAGCTTCAGTTTCGGTATTATAAACGCATAAACAAAAACTTAGGCCTACTTTCCATCAAAATAAATTGACATTTATATAGATTTCGCTGTAGCAGACTGAAAAGTTTTTCGAATTCGCATGATTTTATTGGAGCATAAAGGAATTCGGCAGGATTTTTTTTACAAACTCCAGGTCGTGGTTGTTTATTTTGTGAATCTTTTTGCAACTTATCAGCTGCGTCTGTGCCAAATAACGCTTCCCTGAATTTTTTTGACAGTGTTTTGTTGAACTGAAATAGTCTCGCTATGCGATTGAAAATGCTTCTGAATCTTGAGCGCGTTCTCACAAACAATCAAGTTGAATAACAGGAGTTGAGCTTCAGGCAAAGCAAACGCCGACTTGAAAATGGATACAATCACTCCATCGTCCTTGAAATTATCAACGCATGCTTTGATTTCGGATCAAGGTTTATCCCACAGTTTAACCACTTGCCCTGCAAGGTATATCTCACAGTTTTCTGCAATGTATATCCCACAGTTCAACCACGTTCCCCATCTGGTGATGATGGGCCAAGGCGGTAGAGCTACCGGAAAAGATCGTCTGGAAGACGATCATTTGTACAAACTTCATCAAAAGAAAAATAAAAGTCAGAACTTGGAATGAATTTTTTAATTTCCAATTTTTATCGCTAACAACAATATCCAAATATGTTTTGCGGAGTGAACCCTCGCTCGGCAATATATAGCCCAACTCGTTCTCCAAAAACTGCCAAATTGCTCGTACTCTAATTTTCTGAACGGAACTACGGCTGCAGACAGAGCTTTGGTCCACATTTTTGCTCGAGTCTGGCTCAAAATAGAGCAGTTTTTACTTTTTGGAGTTCGACCGCTCCTCGTTTGTAATGTGCTTTGTGTTTTTTAAATTTTGCTCAAGATCTGATTTTGAATGTTCCCAACTTCACAATCGCAAGCTGTGCACAGTAATGCGGTTCTATTTTTTTTTAAATTAGACTCAATTCGCAAAACCGTTTAATTTTTTTTTTCAGTTTTCTTCACAGGGGCCTTATAAATCAAATACGTCGGAAATTGTAACAAAATCAAAGTAAATTTAATTAGAATAGAGTGATATTTGATATTTCTCAAAAATAATTGTAGTAGAGCTGTTTAGAATACATTTAAGATGATGTTGTTTCTCAGAAATGCACACGGTAGAGCTATTCAAAAAAGGCTGAGATTTTTTTTCTTAGAAATGCTAAAGCCTAAAACATAATACATATGAATGTGGATGGATATTTAAATGGTTAGAATTTGTAGTTCTCAGAAATAATATGCTTTATTTTTTCTCTGCCTTGAAACTAAGGCAATTATGTAGTTCCCAGGCTTTTTTTACTTCTCTATGCACTGAAAAAGTAGAGAAAAAAATACTGTTTTTTTCCGCTCTCTGCTGATATTCTCGAATAGTGTATCTTTGAAATTTAAACTTACTGTAAAACAGAACAACAAACTATTTCATAATGGCTGAAGTTTGATGGTACATGAAAATATTGAACTTTGTTTGTAATTTGTGGACGTAAATACTCATTTGTTTTGGAGCAAAACTGAGCGGAAGTTTCGAAAATTTTGCTGAAATAATTGTTTGTTTAGAAACATTCATTTATGACGCGCGCTTGTGAAGCTTTTGTTTGTTAAACTAACGGCGTCTAATAATTGCCCATTTTTGTTTTCTCAACAATTTCTGTTCGTTTGATAAACTTACTCTCATTGACTTGGAATGAGTAAAACATCATTCGAAATAATTTTCGGCACAGCGGATGAAAATTTTGATTTTCGACTTTGTTGTTTTTCGGCTCTGCCCCTTAAAAATATTGAAATTGATTTGTTCTTGTACGAAAGTTGAGTTCAATCACATGAATAGTTGAAGGGTTACTTGTACAATTTTAATTAGTCAACGTTAAAGAAATTGATTTTTTGATAGCGCTGACAATGGTTAAATGCTTGTGCTGAGATTCCGCTCTAACTTTTCATTTTTTAGTCGTTGATTGTTAACTTGCTTAGTTTTTCCGCTCTTTCTTTTGTTCCATGCTAGCTAGCGCCTTAATAAAATTCTTTGAGATGGTTCTAGCATGGCTCTTACTCCAGAAAAATTGCGGAAAACTCATGCAATTTGTGAAATCTTCTAAGAGATGCGGAAAGTTTAACAATTACAGTTTACCTTACGGATAACTTTTCCCTTGTGGAAATTTTTTACCTTCAAAAACTTTGTTTGGGGATTTCTCAACAAAAATGGTAAATTAATTCCATTTAAAAATTTTGACATATTTAAAAATTTGTCTCCGAATCGCACATTCATACGCTCACAAAAAAAGCACCTTATGAGAAAACCGTTTTGGCCTCGTGATGAAAAATGTTGATTTCATTGTTGTGATAGATTTTACAAAATTAACTGAAATGGTTTGCAGGCATTTTTTTGTTTCTTAGCTGAATTTTATTGAAATCTCCCTACTCCCTACACGGATCAAAAGGTACAACATAAATTCGAAAAAATGTAGGTTTTGATTTTTTCAACAAAAAAAAATTGGCAGTTTTTAATTGTTCAGCATCGAACAGAGTAGACCTTGTGGTCTTCTGTCCCGCAAGATTGTGCGCTACGTTGCCCTTTGAGTGCAGGCAACTACATCATCCTTTTCCAACAAAGAAAGAAAAAAACAAGGACCATATTTATTGTTTGAAAACTCGTTAGTAGACCTCATTTCAAAAAAGATACGGTAAGATACGCTGTTTTCTCATCTGCTCAGGCAACAATAAAATTGTTACAAAGTTTTATTGTTACTTTTTGAAAGTTACTTTAATTAGGCAACAAAGTTTTATTGTTACTTTTTTGAAAGTTACTTTAATTAGTTAAGCACTAAATATTTCTATCTGCCATCTGAAATTGATTTCTACAATCACAGAAACAATCGCTGAGTCATTAGCACATCCATACCAGACCTGCGAAAATGAAAAATCTCGTGACATCTAATGCAGATACCACCGCCGAAATTGATTCAAAGTTTATTCTTCTCTGAGTTAAAGTGAAGAAACCATTTGTGGTGTTGATGTTGGGAAAGGATGACAACTGCTGGTTGTGAACAGTGAGTTGGAATCAGAAGAAGATCTGAGGATGTTGGAGAGGAGTAGAGGGATCCACTCACCGCACAGCTGTTGGTTTAGAGAAGTGGCAGAGTCCCCTCATAGATATGGATATGTGAACACATTCGCACACCTGCAGGACCCAATGCTTAGAGTAATCATCAGGTAAATCACAATTAGGACATACCCTCAGTAACACAAACTTTCCCGCCCGCACGAGTTCACGTCTTTGTCCTTAAGAAATGGGGCCGCTTGGGCTTTTAAAAAAATTAAGCTACTGCAGCCCAAAAATTTATCTACTCTTTGGCAGATTCGGGTAATCTTAGGGGGGTTCCCAAGGAAAACTGAGAGAGCTTCTGAGCTGTTTACCATATATAAAGTTTTACTCTGTTGAATACCTCCCATCTAGGCACAGTATGCTTAATCTCCCCACAAAAGTTGTTCATTTCAGAGATTTATTCGAAAAATGTACGTATAGAAATTATGCAGTTGATTTGCTTTCAGCCATTACGACTTCATATTACGCACGGATCCAGACACTTTTCTAGCTCCATCTTTCTTTGACTGTAACAGTGCCATCAGGTCAAAAGCAATTGTGGGAAGGAAAGATGTGTTGCTGGTGGGGGAGGGGGCATACAGCCACGAAGTGAACTTTCTCAAGATGAACCGAATTGCGGCTGAGTTAGGACTGAAGAGACTGCAGATGCGTGTAAGCTAGTTTCAAAACAGAGCCAAGACAGGTTTTTTAAAAAAAGTTTGCGATGAGTTGGTTGTTTTATAGGCACAGACAACAATCCGATATCATAGTGACTTGGAGACGTCAATTTTTTAAAACTTTTATACTTCTCAGCAACAATACAGTTGGATAGACTAAAAATAAAACGTGGAGTTTTGAAACATCTTGATTTTAATTCAAAACAGTATCTCATTTAGAACTTGGGATCCACGTGGCTGGTCAGCTCCACCCTCTTCATTCCAATCTCCAGACTGGCTCTCTTTCTCACTCTTTTTGTGTTCCACGAGGGATTCAAACACCCCTCCAATTCATCCTCTGGGGCTGCTGGGGGGCGCGATAAGATCCTAAGTGCCTCTGGTCGGTCGCTGGAGGGACTGGCTGAAGAAGAGGAGGAGGGCGAGAATAGGAGCCGGTGGCCAGAATGGTTTCGAGGAGTGTCCTCCATGTATGGCTCAGACATGGCCATACAACACTTCGCAGGTAAGTTCACAACAAAACAATTTTGCCGATCAACCCCTCGGGACTTACGGCCTTGGGTGTTTTTTTTGCACCTTGAATCTGCTAACAGATATAAGCGTAAGATAGTGTCGGGTGATATATCATTTCAAAGTTCTGTCGGTCGTCAAAAAATATTCTAAGAAATAACTTCCAAAAACTTGTTTCAGGATCGAAAAGTTGCTTCTATAGTCTTGGTAGAAGACTCATTAGAGAGTGACGTTGGTTTTGACTGACGTATGTGTCTAGCTTTTTATTATTCATGGTGTAATGTCACGCGGTCACATAAAACTAACTTTAGTCTTCTCCTTTTATTTCTCATGGTGTCATGTTCATGTCACGTGGTTATGTGGAGTTAAATTCAGTCTCCTTCATGATGTTTTCCTTGCAGCCACGCTGGATCTGAAGGAGACCGATATGAGAGAGTATGGACTGCTGGACTTCAGCTCCTACTCGAGGGAACCCCTCAGGAAAGTGGGTCACGTGCACGCCAGGGGTAACTTGAATCGCATGTTCGGCAAATACCCATTCACTCGAGCTGTCTCGTCTTTCTGCGGAAATGGAACTCTTTCCTCCCAGTATGAGGCAAGAGCAGTTATGCTTCTATTCTTTCTTGGACTACTACAGTACTTCAATCGGCGTCGGATGAAATGAGAGTTTTTATGGCTTGGCAGAGGGTTAGAAGAGAGAGGGATAATCATAAAAAAACCTATAAAATATCTCGTCAGTATTTTGCCAAAAATCTTCGTCACTAGATTGGCAACACTTATTTTCGGAAATCTACCAAAACACCAATTGATTTTAACTTATTTTTACAAAGATACGCAAGGATAAATAATATGATTCAAAATAGTCAGTTAAGGTTTGTGCACGAAATGATTGCGCACAAAAAGATCAAAATTTTAGCAAAGGCCATGGTGCGTATACGTGCTTGTGCGACGAGCAAAGTGCGGGGTGGGGGTTTTACGTTGGTTGATAAAGGAGCAGAAAATTAATCCATCCGATTCTCTATTTAGGCTGAACTTGTTCAGTTCGGTGTGAGTCATCTCTCATCTGAGCCATGGTCCCCAGTGAACGAATACTGCCACTCCACCGCCATCAGAGCCACCCTGGACCACTTTGTGGAGAGGGGGTGTTGCAGCAGTAGCAGTAGTAGTAAAGGTTTTTCACAGTTCTCACAGTCAGCACAAGACCCCGATGGAAAAAGGAGAATGAAAAAGATAGGAAGAATGGCGGACCAAATAGAATAAACTTGAGAGATAGAACTTTTTTAACCATCCCCCTCCACCTATCGTATCTATACTAAAGAAGATCAACCCCTAAAAAGTCGTCAAAAACACTTTTCAATTTTCATTTTAAAAGTGATTATAGAAACTTCTCCTGAAAAAAACTCCGTCAATTATTTCATAAGCGTCATTCAATCGAGAACACGATGCCTTTCAAATTGATAGTTTTCAAGGTAACTAAAATTTCCTGTAAGAAGAAATTTAATTTTTAAGAGTTTTTTGCTTCAGGTTGATTTTTCAAACTAATTTAAAATAAAAGAAATCTATGCAAACTTGGAACTATTAATTTCTCTTCAAAAGACTCGTGTAGCAGCGACACTTTTAAATTTTTTAACCAAAATTACAGTCGAGCCATGATTACAGTCGAGACATAAGTTGATTACAAGCGAAGCATAGTCGAATCACAAATCAAGCTATATTTAAAAGGATTGGAAAATTCGATAGTTGGAGTTTAAAAGAGATCGTAGACAAAACACTAGGGCAACAAGAGATATGGGTTTTTGCGGAAGCCCATAGTAATTTCGAACTGCAGTTAGCAAGATTGAATTTAAGATTTAAAAAATAGAAGTTATCCGATACCAACAACTCATTCGGTAGAAAACTGAGAAGCAAAACTTTTCTCGAAATTAGGAAATTTTTCCAATTTACTTATACTGCAATGAAGTCAACGCAATTAGGACCTTTATTAGAGTAATAAATTGAATTCAATTTGAATTTTGATGTCGACATTTGAAATTATATTTTCATCTATCCGTTTTTTAGAAACAGTACACCAAGAATGATATACGGGTTAATCAACCCTTCAAGTAGCATTCCTCCAGGTCACCTAAACTACAATAAACAAAATAAACAACACTTAGAAAAAACCCGATAATAAGAAACAGAACTTATTCTTTCATTATCGCTAACATAAAACTCACAAACGTTTTTGATAAAAAGAATTGAATTCATTTTCAGTAATGGAATTGAGGTCTTTGAAAATCATATTGTTATCGACCAACAAATTATGCGTTTTTTATTCATTTATTGAAACCAAGTTTTTTATTTTCGTAGTTTTGACAGCAGCTAAAATTAATAATTACCCTTTCAAGTTTGCTCTAATTTTCTTGCAGTTATAGGTCTGTCCAAATGCAGTGGAACTAAAGGTGATTCCTTTATTTATTGTATGAATGCTTCTTAGAAAATTTTGAGCAATGCACACCCTTTTCAATGCTCTTGGTAAAACGTTGCACTAGGAGTGGGTTGATGACTGGAGCACACAGTTTGATCACATCAATTATTTTGTTTTGTTTTATCATTCTTTTTTATTTTTTGTTTTCGTTTCATCAGCTTGTTTTTGTGTTTTTAAAGTACCAATGAATTGCTCAAGCACCACTACTTCAGTCGGATATAACTCAGGTCTGTTTAAACAGAAAAATTACCAAGTTAATCAGGTGCCAAGTCAGTTTCTTGCTCTTTTTGTTTTCCACCAATTTTATTGAAAATTTGAAACAGTTTTTTGCTATCTCGACATTTTGAGATTAGGTTAACGAAAATTTTTATATTGCAATCCCTTACCTTTTTGTCATTTTATTTCAAGTTTTTGGATTTCAAAATATTATTAAAAAAATTGATTGTATTTAAGAACTGCTAAAAAAAATTCGATAATTACACAATTATTTCACATAAGCATCGGTTCAACATCTTTATTTAAAACACAACAACGTAAAGGTGCAAAACTATCAAACACAGTATGAAAATACTCCGAAATTCAACAGCAGGAGGAATAGGATAATGGCACGTTGTGCAGCTTTTGTTGTAACAAAAATTGAAATTTTGAAACTTTATTTGATTTTTCTAAAGCCTCTACATAATGTATCTGCATGCAATTCTCAACGGGTTTCTTCAAAAAAATGGCCTAATTAAAATGACAGTCAGAAGAGCCCAATGTTCTCAATATTTCACTTCAGAGTGTGAACATCAACTTACTGGTCGAAGCGCATAGTCTAAGTAGATTTTAGTGTTAGCTGTAACTCTTGTTGCTTCACTATTTTGAACTATCAAATGGAAGTTAGCTATTGTCTCAAAACAGTCGTTTTTGTTGTTTCGCTTCTCTCGCTGCATTCAAATTAATAAACTCTGATGTTTGAAACCTCGCTGTTCAAAGTTTGCCATTCGATGTTTTCAGGTCGTTCAAGAATTAAGCCAATTAACCAAAAAAATACAATAAATTTCAACCCTAGTGGACGGTGGTTAAGTAAAAATCTGATATTTCACTTCTTCTCACGACATAAGCCAACATCAAGGACTCATCGAGACAAAGGAAGATATCAAATTCTTTTCTTCCTTGTCTCAATTCTGATTGGTTAATACAGTGTCTGAATACTCGGTTGTCTAAATACAGACCGCACTCCAGAATAGTTCTTGAATTGATGAGTAAAGGGTTTTGCCTCGCAAACACTTAGCATCTTTAGTATCGACTAGATTATGTCTAAGAAAATCGCTATTTCGATTCTCAATTAGCTTTTGCCGAACACAATTATAAGTAGCTGTAAACATACCCAAACACGTACAGCAATCAAAAAGCTACGAATATTTCTTTGCCAGACTAGCCTCTATATAGACCAATTCCTTATCTACTGGGTCAACACATTTTCAGAAATTGTCGGCCATTAACCCTGTTATTTTGTTAGAAGGTAAGCAAACTTTCCTATTACAGCAGTTCTCTGGATCCTACTCACGGCATTCAAGTGTTGGTACGACTTCAAGTCTTACTCATTACGTCCAGTCTCCAAATATTGCTGATGAAATCCAAGATAACCCGAACAAATTTGCGATGTAACTTGGGTAGTTTTTGAATAATCTTTCGACAACAAATATCATTTAAATCACTAACTTTTGAGTCCAGAATAATAATTCGATTCGTAAAGTTCAAAATATTTCAGTCTTTTTCCTTAAGGCATCTTCTCAATTTTCCAAATAACGCCCCTGTTATAGAATCAATAGATTTTTGATCTTTCTTGCGTTAGTTGAAAGCGTAAGGCGAGAGAATTTGTGCTTGCCTATCGATGGAAGTCCAAACATGGAGCCATTCCTGGAGCCACGCCTGCAGGCGGAAAAACTATGTAAAAGTCTTGCAAAGATTCCCCTGGACTTCCTGGATTGGTATAAGAGTCCAGTGCTAGTTTTCTTAATTTTTTTCTGGGAATGCGGCCTAGCGTGCCAGTTTTTTGGCGAAAAATTAAAAAGGCTGAGGCCAACAAACCTGCTTGAAGTAGCTACAATTTTTTCGCGCTCTGCCCAACAGATAGCTAGAGAAAGTATCAGGATTGTTTTTGTACAATGACAAAATCTATCAACTTCTGGATAGCTACCAAAGCAAGAGGAAAAATGATTCACAACATCATAAAACGAAAACTTGAAAACAAAATGAAACATTCGAAATCATCTACGAACCGAAAAAAAATCAAAAGAACATGCAGATGTGCAATCTAATTATCAAGACAATTACATAGTATTAATTTTTTACTAAAACATGTATATAATGTTAATTACAGAGAAGCGAAGCAGCGCTTGCCACCACGTGGCATGCAACGAAAACGTAACATTGGAAGCTTGAAAGCTACCAAAAGGAAATTGAGATGAAAAAAAAAAACAGTCAATTTGAAGAAAAACGACGTCTCGGTAGTTTATAATGATAAATGTAGATTGAAAACAGCAATTGTCGGAAACAAAACTCAGATGATGTCTGCCAGGAAGTACATGACTGTCCTTGTGTTTTTAAGTTCCTGGCAGATTGTCTAACTTTTCCTCTGGCTAAGTAATCCGGGAACGCATTGTTTGGCCTAAAAAGCTTGCCTCAGACCGAGGTAGACTTAATTGGTTTGTTTTAAGCTGCCAACTTGAGTTGGTAGCATACAAATAGCACGCTTTTGGCATCACTTTAAATTATTTTAAAGCACAATTTTGTTACAAAAGTCAAACCATTTTTGTTTTGATTGAGAAAACTAAATGGAACCACGTTTTGAATGACCAATGTTTCGTACTTGGGGTTTAATGCATTCAGTAACTCCTGTTCCCATTTCAATAACAACGGCTTGATGCAAAATATCTGTAAGCTCTTCTTGCTCCAAAAAAAACGAAATCAGCCTAAACATTGCGCTGAAAATTGAAGAAACACGTTGTGGTAAAACAAATAATTTATAGGTATCTACACCAAAATCACGGGTATCATAAATTTTTGAGTCAACATCGATTTTTGAAACAACTTGTAAATAATGAGAGCAGCTTAAAAAATTTTCATCAATAAATGTAAAAAAAAGAACGTAATCTTAGACAATTAACGCTCATAAAAAAAGCCCAGTAGTCTGGTGATATCAGTGGGATTTTTTTTTCGTTCTAAACGT